GTCAAAATTAATTTTTTGAATCAATTGACAGCAGATTGGATGGAAACCGTCCAAAAGGGCTTATGATGCAATGGGTGAAAAGGCATGGGGAGATGATTGTAATATTTGAAAGTTTTGGAAAAAGTTTGCTAGTGTTTCAAAGGTTTAAAGTATTTGCTGTAATTATCCCAATTTAATTTGCTCCCGGTAGGCTCTCTCTCTCTCTCTCGACACACACACACATATTGTATCCATTATATATGAGATTGATGAAAGTACCTGAGTCGAAAATTTTGTTGACGCCATAATCCTCCATTTTAGGTTGTTAGGGTTTTGTGCATGGCTTATTCATGTCATTTTACTTGTGTCCATTTTTATAAATAGAAAAAACATTTAAATGTACTGTGTAACAAACAAATATTGTATTGATAATATAATGAAAAAATAATATTAAAATTGAGTTCTATCTTGATCAAGAATTCAGGATCGAGATTGAAACTTCTTTGTGAGAATGGTAACTAGTTTTTGAGCAAACTCAAGTACTTACAACGGTTAAAAAAATAAAAATTTTCTTAATGCCAATGTTATATATATATAAGAACTTGTTAAAACAACAAAAGAAATGAAAATCTACAAAGGGGTTGTTTTGACAAAGCTACTAATAAAAAATTTAGCAGATTTTGATCAAAATTGATAAAACGTGTAATTGAAAAACTAATAAAATTTATGAGTTCCGTAAAAATGATATTAAATTTGAAGTTTGAATTCAAAAAATAAAAATAAAAAATGGTGAAAGTTATTATAAACTAGTTTTGTGTTATTTATATCAGGGAACCCTAAAATAAAAAATATACACCCAAACTTATTATAATTCATTTTAAGCAGTAGTCATATTATAATGCAAGTTGTGGGGACAAAGGTCACAAGAATAGATGCACATTGTTGTGTGTGCATATTGCTCAACTCAAGATTAGATTATACAAATTATACTAAAAATATAAAGACATGTCCCAATTTTATGCGAGTGGCATTATGGGGACAGCAGACACATGCATTGGACACAAACATCGTCATTATTAATTAAGAATAAATCCTTGGAGGGTCCAACTTTTCTATATAAATAAAATCCATTTTATTATTCAATTTAACGTATTGATACCTACCATCGTTCTTTATAACATGTCCAAGTGCAAGACTACACAAGGGCACACGTATCCAAACTTGTCTAGTCAACTTTTAAAGAAATACACGCGCAATAATTAGTTGTTGCACATTTAAATAAACATAGAGTTGTGCTATTTGTATAGACCCATTTGCACAAGGTCTATACAGATGCACACACATGGGGGTGGACCCCATATCTGTACACATCCACCCCTATGTGAGAGTCCCTGTACACACTCCGTGCAAAGAGGTCTGTGTAGGAGCTTTATTCCATAAACACAAGTATACATTAATTTTAATATTACTCGTATAGACATGAAAAAATTGTAAATGTTATATAAATAACTCCTGCTAGGTTCCTGTAACATGAAAAAATTGATGAAAGTGTGGCTAAAAAGTTATGGATCCCATGAAATTTATGGTTAAAATTAATTATTAATTTTGATTTAAATTAAAATGTTAAACTTACATTAGACAGAGCTTGGTAGTATTGAAATTGCATATTTTGGCCATAACACACAAATATGAATAAGAATAAAGCTCCATGCACAGGCTCTTTTGCACAGGGCCTCTCACATGGGGATGGACCCCACATGTTGATCCAATGTGTGGGGTCCATCCCCATGTGTGTGCACCTGTACAGATCCTGTGCAAAAGGACTTGTGTAGGTAGCACAACTGTATAAATAAAATGTCTAGGTCAAAAACAGTAAAGGAATGATGTTAACAATTATAAAGGTCTCTATTGCAGGCCAGCTCTACACTAAAAAGATGAGACACTGGAATATGTACTCAGTATATTCCACTCAAAAGCAATATATCACATTAAGGTCTATCCTCAAAAAACTAAAGATTTTGGAGGGTTAAGACTTTGGGCATAAAAAAATTGGTGTAACACACAAGTAATAAGAAGAAAAAATCTGGAATATTCGATCGAGAGGTCTATTATCTTTTGGTTTGGAATTGACTATAGATTATTTCTTAGCCCCGATTGGTAGCAATTTTTCATCCCAAAAGTTCAATTTTTCGACCGTTATTTTATTATTTCAACCGTCATTATTTACTTCTTCACTCACAAGTGGAATCCATTTTTTTCTCTAATTGTAAAAAAAATCAATTCTCATAATCACTACTGATCAGACCCTTAATTGAAAAGAATAGCATTGAAAGAATATTGACTAGATTATTGAAGAGTATCTTATTCCATTTCAACTAAGGGAAGTTAAAATGAAAGCGAACGAACCCTAATTATATTCATTTTCTTTTGGGTTCATAACCAAGAAAGCGTTTTTTAAGTGCGCTTTAGCGCTTTAGCACGCTTTTTATGACTGGGCGGGAGAGGAATAATTGCTTTTACTTAAACAAATATAGAGCAAATTAAACGTTTCGCAGACAGAAGTAGGAATCTCCGATCTCACTGTGGTTTCACTAGATCTCTGTCTCTCTGCAATTCCCCCGATGTAATTTCCTATTCTTCTTATTTAATTTTAAAGAGAAAAAACTAATCTGTTGCCCTATTATCGCCTTTCCATAATGCTTGTGTGTTTTCTCAGATTTGTTAATTGAACGCGATATTTCAATATTCTCATGCCCAATTTTTATGGCGTGATGTTAAATTTTCATTTTCTGGTGGGCTTGAATTTCTATTGATTTTGATTTGGGTCTTTTTTGGGATTTTGCAGGTGTTTGTAGATTAGTGAATTTTGCAACTTATATTTATACAAAGAAAAGGTGCAAAGAAGAAAACTACATACAAAGTAGTTATAATGGGATATATAGGGGCACATGGAGTAGCTGCGCTGCATAGGTACAAGTACAGTGGAGTAGATCACTCATATTTAGCCAAATATGTGTTGCTGCCCTTTTGGAGACGCTGTGTTAATTTCTTCCCTCTTTGGATGCCGTAAGTCCCCCTTTTTTATGTTTTATGTTTCATTCCTCGTGTCCATTTTTTTCATGAATATTTTTTATTTTATGCTTAGGTAAATTGCATGTCTAAATTAATTTCTTAAGGTAAATTTTCCATAACTTCTGTAAGATAATTTTGAGATTGAAAATCTTAGTCAGTTTTATCTGTAGGAATAGTTTGCTCATGTATTTCATGAAAAAATAAAAATAAAAAAATAAAGAGAAGCTAATTTTTGGTCTGATCAGAATTTAAATGTTTGAAGTTTATGAGGACCGCCCCCTCTTGTTACTGTGCTTCTGATCTCGAAACTTGTCTTAACTCTAAGATATAGAAATATTTGTTGGCAATAATATGAATTAATGAAGTTATCTTCTCCGATTAATGGTCTATAGGGATTTTCCCTTTTCTATTATATTTTCCGTAATTTCGCAAAATCTGACTTTGTATCAAATGGAAGGAACTAGTTTTATTGTCAATTGGTCCGGGCTTTTCTGGATTCACTCTGGTTCATGAGGGCTTTTACTTCTTTATGCTTGATTTTTTTGAAAGACAAATTCAAAATGTGTTGGATTTCAGTTAGTCTAGCAACATTGGAAAGCCTTTCGATGCACCTCCTTCTGAAAATGGGTAGCACAATTTTCTACGACAAACAGATTCTCAATGCTTTTTAAAATCCAAATTATTTCCATGAGCCTCTGTATAAGTTATTGTATGTGTTCTCTCTCTCTCTCTCTCTCTCTCTCTCTCTCTCTCTCTCTCTCTCTCTCTCTCTCTCTCTCTTGCCAATTAATAAACTTATTTTATTTCGCCCTTGTCTGAGCCCCATTTCTTTCCCTTTTAACTTTAACTTTAATTATTATTATTGAGGTAATAGATTTTGGAATGGTGATCTTTTGAAAAATGTGTTGTTAAAAGTAAGGAATAATTTTGGTTTTACGTGTAAAATTAATTTATTGGGAGAGTTTATGATTGAAAATGAATTTTGGAAAAAAAGAGTTTTGGGAAAACGGTTCTCAAACACAAACTTCAATTGATGGAATTTTTATTGTTGAAGTTCAGTTTCCTGTCTTTCATTCTCTTCCTTTTTTCATTTGTATGTGAATATGGATGCCAATTGCCAAGTTGAATGTTTTTTAAAATTAATTTACAAAGATGAATTTGTTAATTCCTTTTTTCCCATATCATTTCTTGTAGTTTTCGTATTTTATGGTTTCAGTTTGTAACTTTTGAATTGCAACTTAAAATGTAAGTAGGTGCTGCTGTCTTTGCTTCACCAACAAATTTAAAATTTTCAATTTTGTTTGATTTTTCTGCTCTCTCCAATCGTGGATTAGCGTTTCCTCTTTTATCTTCCTGGGTTGGATTTATTGGGAGGGGATATGGGTTACGATGGAAAGAATTCTTCTAACTGGGAATCATAGTTATCCATGTTAAGGTTTATTTATTTATTCATATTTTTTTTCTGGACACTCCCCACTCTCATGTATAGACATTATATGATGCATTACTGTTATAAAGTAGAAAAATTGTATAAAGTGATAATTTTTTCCCTTGTTTCCCATCTAAACAGAAAGCAATGCTCTATAGTAGTGCTTCGATGATTTAGTACATTATGATCAGGATGAAGATATTATGTTTTCAATGCCATGGATAGAATTGTTATTGTGCTATTTTCAAAATTTTGAGTGTAACAATTATTTGACAGTAGGAGTCTACTGCAGTGCTTAGATATGATTGTCAGATAACTTTGCAGCATCTGTAATCAGTAAAGAAGTTTCACACTATATTCAGATTTCGAATTTCACGGTTTTATTAAAAGCTTTCTACAATTATCATTCAGTACTCTTGCTGACCACTTCTAATCTGATCTTGAATGTTTTATGACATGTTTCTTATTCACCGATACAATCAGTGTTTGGTTTTTATTAAAATGTAGATATAATCTTCATAAAGTCCATCCTGATGAAACTGTTGTATTTATTTTATCATTTGTTTTAATGTTTTGATAATTGATGGTGATGGGTCTTGTTGACTCATAAATACTCTGAATTTATGTATGGCAGTGTGCTAGTTAAAACTTTGTCTGTAGATGTAGTTTGAGGAAAGGGGAAAGGTTGAATATATGGAGATTTATTTAGAGAACGAGTCTGTGCATTTTATTATCGCAATTATCACAAGCCTCATATTTAGCTTGGCACTGACTAAAGGAGGGAAGGTGTTCAATCACTGACCTATATGAATCCCGTGAAAGAGATCATTTGAATTTTTTGATGGTGAGAGTGGTACATACTGTCATATGCATATGCCTTGCCTCCTTTTCGCCCTTTCAACAGGTAAGCTGGTGTTCATGAATCATGATTTTGGTTGATGTATTTGGTGGGGTTCTTGGGGGAATGAAAGAAACAGTGGAATAATGAGAGCCCAAAGGGTTTGTATTGATTGAATGAAAAGATTACATAAACTGGAATGATAAATTGCAGCCTTTCAAGAGGGCTGAGTCTCTCCTATATCTCGCTTAATCACAGAAGTCTTGCCACTTCTCTTCTCATGCCTACTATTTATAAGTATGTTAAAACAGATTTTGGTTACAACATAGCCTTCCCAACAGACTTAGTTACTGCCCCCACTCACTCCATTCTTTTTGAATCTTCTAAAATAAGTGTGCGTGATTGGGGGCCTATCTGTATTTTATTTAGATAACAATCCATCTTGAAAGTTTGTGTGTTAATGTAGTGGCAAATGGTTCGGTCGTTAAATATTAGTTTTAGCGTTGGAACTTTTCTTTTGACTGTTGTTATTCTTTTCTCATTATAGATGCTTCTTTTGCAGATATATTCACCTAAATTGGATTCACCTCCTCCAAGATGGGTTAATTTTGTCCACGGCTTACTTCTGTTCTTATATCAAGTATGTTCAGGTTTCTATAAGCACTGTTTCAGTTTTTATTTGGTGAAATTGTCTGTGCTTGTAGGACATCTTATACCTGTAAGTAAATTACACTAATTTGGTGTGGAGAGGATAATTCTATTTGCAATACAGTGTTTTGGTTACAATTGTAGTTTGGAGGTCTTTAGGTCAATTTTGTATATTGTTTATGTGTGGTCATTTTCAGTTAGGTGCCTTAAAAATGTGATTCAGGTATTGTTTATGTTCTGCTGTGACCTCACTCGCATGGTAGACAAAATTTTCTGGATACTCTGACATCCATACGTACAATACCCTAATCATCTATTACTTATTTACTTAACCTTAAAATCATGAGTAATGTTCTTTGTTTTGCTAAATTCTTGGACATTTTAAATATGATTTTGACTGAGAGCTTCTTCCTGTCTTCAGTATTTCTTTTAACTTTTTACTTTTAAATACATGCAAGACTTTTGATGCTGTTGATGGAAAGCAAGCAAGAAGAACAAATTCCTCTAGTCCATTGGGAGAACTTTTTGATCACGGTGATGTTCCTTTTCTTTTTTTCTTTTTTATCTCGTTTTTCATCACTGCATTCTTCTTGGTTTACATGATTGGTAAATTCTTAACAAATATCTCTGCCTCTGCAACTTTACAGGATGTGATGCTCTTGCATGTGCGGTATGTTTCATCTTTTTAGTTATTTTGTAGATGTTATGGAGTGAAATAGTATTGAGTTTCGTTGTGAATGTTTAGTTTGAAGGCTTGGCCTTTGCGAGCACCGCAATGTGTGGACGTGATGCATTCTGGTTCTGGGTTATATCAGCTGTTCCTTTTTACTGTGCTACATGGGAACAGTAAGTGGACAACAAACGCTGGATTGCATGAATTTGTTTTTTCATTTGTTTTCACTATTAGCAAGTATAGAACTTTTGCGTTCTCCTCCCCTTTTACTCTTTTAGTGGGAAGCATTAGTCAGTAATCTTTATACATATCCTCAATTAAATTTAGTTCTCTATGGGTCCTAAAGACGTGAGAATAGTTTTTTAGTTGTTAGATAAGATAAATTGCTGCAAAAAAATGTTTTCTCATTGCTATAGAGTAAACCTTACAAAATACAGTTTGGACTCTCAAACAGTTGCTTAAATTACTTACTTATATGTTTTTGATGATTATTATGATGTTTTCCAGCATTCATTTTTCTGGATCATGTATTTTTTTATTTATTATGGAAATTTGCATGTTCTGAATTCTATTTTTCTTACCGTGAACCAGTCCCAGATTTCTTTACATTGTTATGCCTTTATTGATTTTATTGATATTGCCTAATTTGTGCAGCTATTTCACCAATACCCTCATTCTTCCAGCGATAAATGGACCTACTGAAGGCCTTATGTTGATATATGTGGTTCATTTCTTCACAGCTATTGTTGGTAATGCTTTGGTCACTTCACTTCTCTAAGCACTTTGGTTTCCGTACTTGTGTTTATCTACATGCAACCATACATAATGAGTTTGAGTTTCTATGCTTCTTTTTAGGTTCTGAATGGTGGGCCCAACATTTTGGAAAATGTATCCCTTTCTTGAGTTGGATTCCAATTATAAATGGTGAGTCTCCCATAATAAAGAGAAGGAACAGGAACAGAAAACAATTCAATGGCTGATAATAATCGAAGCAAATGTATCGCTCCAATATGCATGTTTTCGTCTTAATTATTTTGTTCTTTATATTCTCATTTGCCAAATGGTTTTAAACTGTATTGCTTAGCATTAGATATTATAGTTAGGCTCACTGTTCCTGGTTCGTTCTTTTAGCATATTCATCATTGTTCCTGGTTTGGGATTTTTGGATTGCACCTTCTTTTTGTTATTTTATATGATATTTATATTCTACTTATCATCTCTTTCCCTTTTGTTTATCTACAGAAGTGCCAATGTATAAAGCCGTATTGTTTCTGATGATAGTCTTTGCTGTTATACCAACAGTCTCATTTAAGTGAGTATTTTCTTTATTTAAGAGGGAACTAAGCTATTTTATCTGTCCTCTGACAAGAAGTTGCATATGTGTTGGAGTATCTATTTTATAATCCTCGGATGTTCTATGCTTCATAGATTCTGTTACTCTTAAATTTCAAAGTTTATTTCACATGACCTATTATGCAATTTGAGTAATTAGATTTATGTTATAATTCCATAAAAAGGAATGCTTTATAAGAGAAGTAAATAATTAAAAGAATCTGTCAGAAATTGATTTCAGTCAATGTTTTTATTGCTCAACCATGCCTTTTTAAATTAAAAAGCAAGATGCATGTAGAAAGGAACTCTTGATAATTTAAAACAGTGCTTATTTTCATTGTAAGCATTAAGTTTAAACATCTTAGAAAATTGTCTACGCTCTAGTTTACTTGCTGCTTCTGCATTTTTGTGCAATAGCAAGCTCGAGTAAACTTTTAAGTTAACATGGTTTATTTTCAGTGTGTACAATGTTCATAAGGTTGTTCAAGCAAGAAAAGGAAATTTGCTGCTAGCTCTGGCAATGGTATATATATTTGACACATGGACAGTACCTTTTTTTAATGTTTCTTTTGTAGTTTCTGAATTAACAATTCGTTTTCATTTTTTGCCAGCTCTATCCATTTATTGTGCTATTGGGTGGAGTCCTTATATGGTATGTCTCTTTCTTTCTGATTTGCCATCTCTCTTGCTTCAACTACATTTCATATGCTCTATTATCGTGCGTATCTTTTCAGGGATTATTTATCTCCTACTGATCTAATTGGCAACTATCCGCATCTGATCGTAGTGGGAACTGGACTAGCATTTGGATTTCTTGTGGTAAGAGAACTGTAGTTGATTGTCGTAGCCTTGTGATTATCTCGATCTTGTTAATAAAATTCTTCTGCAAGAAATACTGTTATATTTACTGGAGTGTGAGGTACTGTGATTATTTAGCGCCTAAGAGACTATTCTTCGCTTTCAAAACTTGGAAATAAGCTCTTATATCCAGTGAATGTATGACACTTGAAATGCTATGGTTTAGGTATATTTCGTCATTATGGTTCATGTTCACGCTTTTACTATTGTATATAGATTATTAAGTTGGTTCGTGAAATACTGAAATTCCTGCTTAGCACTGTGCCTGTATCCTTATGGCTAATGAACTTATCTCATGTTGTTGCTAAGAAATCACTGTTCTGCAGGGAAGGATGATTCTGGCTCACTTATGTGATGAACCCAAGGGCTTGAAAACTAATATGTGCATGGTACGGGTATCTTCTGGTCGCATATTCTGAAATAGTAGATGATGTGATTGTGTGATTATCTTTCTGCATAAAGTGCTTCTCAGATGCAAAAGGGCCTAAATGTTAATGATATGGATTTTACAGGATACTGAATTATTATATTTGGAGTTATGTTTCCTGAACTTGCATTGTATTTCTGTTGGTGTTTCTTGAACCTTGTCTTGTCGATGCAATATAGAGTTCAAAATACTATCAAGTTCTTTAAAGAGAATGTATAAAATTGTGACTGTGACTTGGTACACTTTCTATTCATTGTTTTTGCATATTTGTGTGCGTGGCACCATTTTCCAATCTAATACTTAAAATTAAGAATTGCCTTGAATTTGAGGAGTGGCTACGTGTAGCATATATTTTTATGCCACATGATAGCCACTTGTATACTCGATCTTCTTTGATTTAATGTTATCTTTTGCAGTCTTTGTTTTATCTGCCTTTCGCCATTGCAAATGCACTCACTGCCAGACTAAATGACAGGTGTGGTGATTCTCTCAGCTTATAAATGTCTTTTATGTTCACATTTTCAAGTAGAAATTGGAGGATATGGAATATTGATTTGATTTTGATCCCTCATGATATTTTTTGATCGTCGCAGAGTTCCTCTAGTTGATGAGTTTTGGGTTCTTCTTGGTTACTGTGTATACACAGGTAGGGCATTCCTACACTAATGAGATAATGTTAATTCAAGCATGCAGATATACGGTTGACCTCTTAATTTACTTCTTTCGATTTATCCTCACTCTAAGTAGAAAGGAAGAGCATCCTGAACACATTTATTTTAATTGCTAGTTCTGTTATTCAATTTCAGTTTTTAATAGAAACCTGTGGTTACTTGTACCTTAAACTGCCCTGATTCTGAGTTTGGTTTATTGCTCGTATAATCTGGCTTCTTATCCTGAACTTTCATTCTTGGCCCTTGTTTGAGTCCCTTTTAAAGGG